CAATGGGAACCGTGACTGTTTAGTTATCAACATTCTTTAAAATATCTTATTTTGTGTTCAGAAGAAGAAAGTCATACAGGTTTGGAATAATATGAGGGTGAGTAAATTATGACAGCATTTTAATTTTGGTTGGGCTACCCAATTTAATACTAGGTATAAACATGGTCATTGTTGATGTGAGGAGGACATGGCAGAAAAGAAGGTGATAGATGTAAAGGAAAGAAAAGACAAATGGCTACAGAGAAGGCAAGAGGGATTTCATAATACAGGAAATAAGAAAGAAAAGCAAGAACGCTGGGAAAAAGAGCAAGGGAGAATGTGCCGATACAAGAAGAGCCCTGAAGTGCAGTGAAATTCCGAAATTGAGATGTAGAGTCAGAGAAATGCCCCAAAACTGTGTTTTGCCCAGGGGCAAAAAACACAAATGGATTATTTCCCCAGGAAGCTTCAGCACGGTGTCTGTACACAGCCTAAGCCTGTCCTGACAGATGTCTGTGCAAGACTCTATCTCTCTTTCTACCTCTACCGCTTTTCCTTCTGCATCTTCTGCGCGTTTCTCTCTATCTTTCTCTCTCTCTCTCTGTCTCTTCCTCACCCCCTCCTCTCCTCAGAGGCCTGGCTGACTTGGGAGCGTACGTCTTCATTAAGACAGCTGTCAGGTCTAGCAAGTGGAAGGGTAGAAAAAAGAAAGAGGGAGAACTTCAAAGGCCTGTGAGCTGTGTCCCAGAGGATTGTGCACTGAGCTGGGGCTGGGTGAGCACAGTCTGTCTCCTACTAAAAATCTCACTTTACCCACATGCTACTGTTTGTTCTGCTCCATTCTGTCTAGTCTGACAGAAACGTCTTCAACAAGCTCATCTCAGGAAATAATAAGCCCAGGAGATCAAACGCATCGATCTCTGGCAGCTAATCACTAAAGCTCATGTTTTAGAGCTGTAACAAATAATTAGACATGAAGAGAAACTGACAGTTCTTTGTACAGCATTCCTCATTCCTTCACAGCATCAGCCATCTTAAACTTAAGCGAGGACTTAGCTTAGCTTCTTTAAACAATGTAAACTAATTTACTAATTAAGACTGTCATTATAAATTTCATTAAGTGTTTGTTGTTGTTGTTGTTTTTGGCAGCAACATATCATTTGATAATATTAACTAATTGATTTTATTTAAAAAATACATAAAAAATATAAGAAAAAAATGCCACACGATAATTAACAATTATTAATTTTCTTACCTAACATTGGACGTCTTTTCGGTCCAAATAAAAATGGGCTAAAATTAATGAATTTGATATGACAAAATACTGACTTCAAATACATTATTATTAACTAACCAATTCAAACTGACCATGTGTAAGGCACACATTATTGACCCGAACAACGTCATGCCAATGCATCTGTCTGTTCCAGAAATGCTCCAGAAATGTTGAAAGGTGGAAAACAACAGACCCAGAGACATCTTTGGCCTCTTGGCAATGTCAGCAAACACTCCAGCAAGCACCCAACATCAAACACACACATCCTGGGGTTTGGACAGGTAATCTGTCTTCCCTGGACATTCAAAGGGTCCGGTCAGGAAGCCCTGCCGTCCTGCCGCCTAGAGAGGCACATTGGAGGCCGGGTATACAAACTGAAAGGCAGAGAGATGGATGTGAGGATTTTTTGCAGAGGCCAGCAGTGCTGGAACTGGTCCGAATGGTAGAACTGGGGGTTCAGTTAGTATCAGATGACATTGGCTGGTGGTGACAGGTAGGGTTAACCAGACTGGGTATTAGGACTGAAAGAGAGAACAGGGAGCACTCATCAAGGTCAGAAATGTCTATGTGCAACACCGTGCTTTATAGAGGTGTGAAATTACTGGATGTCTAAAGATCTGGACAGTCAGAAGTGAGAGCCACTCATATAGGCTGTTCAGTATATATATAAATTAAGCAAACTCACCAAAAAAGGTTTCTGTTTTTTGTACAGGGCAGGAATGAAAGCATAGGGTATGAAGAGGTAAATACAGTCTTTAGACTTTATTTCAAGGTCCAATTCTCACTATTAACTAACTATTAAGTATGACTTTTGCCCCTATAAACTCCTAATATGCTGCTTATATATAGTTAGTAAGGTAGTCATTCTAACTTTAGCATCAAACAGAATATATATAAGCAAGTGAAAAAAAGATTATGATTGGTCAGACAACACGTAGTCCCGCCTCCAAACTCACACAATTGGTTGAGCCAGTGTTAGTGTCCTCTGCATAAAAAAGCTGAAGAAAAAATAACAAAAAATATGACAAAAAATGTCAGTTCATAACAAAATATCAAGACAATAAGGTTTTAAAAAAATAAAAAAATATATACAGTTCAAAGTTAAGACAAAAACTATTTAGACACTTTCTAGTTGACAAATCCTATTGGAACATGTTCATAGTTAACATCATGAACTTCACCTGTGGTTATTGTGTTGTACTTGGGGCAAACCAACTCGATCTCATAAGTAATTGTAATACAAGGCAATGTAACTATTTAACAAGGTGGCAATTCTGTACAATTTTTTGAAAAAAGTTGGCATGAAGGTCCATCCCTAAACCTAACACTCAGTAGGGCATAATAGGAGTGTTTAAAAAGATGTTTTGAACAGATGTATGAATTCATACAAATTATCAATCAATTCACCCAAAATGTAAAACTGACTTCATACACACACTAAAAATCATATTAAGCATATTAAGAGCAGTCAGAAAAACGTAATTGTAAAAATGGCTCAGAAAGTGATATTAGTTCTGACAAAAGCATTAATTTACAGGTTTGATATTTTATTATCTGATCCAATGACATTGATTCATTAAGTGTGGCTTAAGTATCCAAATACTGTAACTGACCTACATTTACATTTACTCATTTAGCAGTCGCTTATATCCAAAGTGACTTACAAATGAGGAATACAACAAGCAATTCATCATAAAGAGGCAAATAGCTCAAGTGCTTGTAATACAAGGCAAAGTGAAAGCATAAACTTTTTTCTTTTCTTTTTTTTAAATTAAGTGCTCACAGAAGAGATGAGTTTTTTGCTTTCTCTTAAATATCGCCAGGGATTCTGCATTCCGGATGAGGGTGGGAAGATCATTCTACCAGCAAGGACTATCTAAGCAGTGTGTCATGCATAAGGATTGGATGCATTTTCCATAATAGCATGTCGTTTGGAGAGAATCTCCTCTTGCTGTTATCTCTGCGGACTCAGACTAAAGCTGCCTTCCTTTCGTCAGCTTAGTCTGTACAGAGCCACTTTGGCCGTCTTGTTGTCCTGTATTGTCATCTGCATAATACCTGCAGCCAAAAATGGCACATCCACATACAGTTATCATAAAAGTGAAAGCTCAGTCCAGGGCACTCAATTTATGATAATTCAGCTGTTTAGAAGCATCACAATGCTCCCAGGCGTCAACGACAAGTGTGTGCGTTCTCTAAGAAGCATGAAATCAATTGCACACTACCTTTCAGTATTCTTGCACCGCCGTGGGAAAACAACACATGTGGAGGTCTACGCTATTATGCTATTTACTTTCACAATTGGCTTTCACCATACAGGTGCATTATTGCCATGAGAGCTTTTTACACCTTCACCAATCAGTCATAAAAGGGTTTCAAGCATCCAGTATGACTCTGGTGTGGACCAGGCTATTTGACATCAGAGTTCAATTTGCTTGATTACTGTGAGAGATGTTGGTATGTGGAACATACCAAGGAAATGCACTCAAAAGGACTTGAATATTGTGGTCTGGACTAAGGTTCATGTGCACTCCAGAATGTTTGCAATTAGTGTGAGGGCAATCTAGATTTTTTTTTATTTTTTATTTTTTTGCAGAAGCAACGCTATTGATAACATCATACATGAACCATAACTGATGATCTTCCCAAACATCCCATGAGCATCTTAAGGCACTTTCTCAATTAATGTTTCTTGAGAAAGAGAGAGAAAGAATTCACTATTGTTTCACTGCATCTCACTTTTATCTCTACTCCAACTGTGAAACTTTGTACTGCCTCCTTAGGATGAATCACTTTTGTTGTTGTCCTCATTTGTAAGTCACTTTGGATAAAAGCATCTGCTAAATGAATAAATGTAAATGTAAATTTAACCAAGTCTATAAACAGCTTTCATACAAGGCAAGCATGAAGTCTCTTTCATCAAATCCTTCTTCCTTGCTGTCGGGGGAAAAAAAAAAAACGTTTGATGAACGTTTCAACTTTCTGATGACTAGTACCTTAAATGATTGTTTTAGTTGGGTAAGCTCTGGCTTATTAGGCCCTGTGGAGGTCAAATTAACTCTGTTGATTAACACGCTTGTCCGGTCTTCCAATAATACACTTGCTATCATCTATCACAACATAGTTTTTTAATCTAAGAAATGTCACTGAAACACACATATTTGATCAGCACTGAAGTCAGTGAAGTAATTCTTTAAGCATCAGGCCTTAATGAAAAACAACTCAATAAAATCAGCACTTTGCTTTCTTTTATTTGGTTGCATCTTTCGTTTGGCCCCGAGGCGTCTTTTCAAACTCGAAGACATCTCAACTCAGATTTCAGCGTACTATTTCACCCCCCATTTATTCCTGCGACCAACTCAATGCACCAAAGTACCATCACACGAATCGCCCTGGAGATATGATCATTGTTATTGCACTGCATTACTGAATCTTTCATTAGCAGTATTAAAGGGATAACTCACCCAAAAATGAACATTCTGTCATCATTTACTCACCCTCATGTCATTTGTCTGCACAACACAAAAGCAAATGTCTAGTGGTTTTTCCTTACATTAAAAAAAGTTTGAAATATCTTTGTGTTCTGTAGAATAGTTCTGTAGAAATTCAATACTGAATGGCGTAAATCGCAATTTTAATTTTCGGGTGAACTATCCCTTTAAGATTGTTGCTGTATTCGTGCACACACATCATCCTTTGTTTTCCCTTTCCTCTCCAAACACTGAGTCCAGATTGATAGTGAACTGTCTGCGAACAGCTTTCTACCTCCCAGCGCAGTCCAGCCGACCTGTGATCCGTTTGACTTGGAATTGCACATTTCCCCTCTGAACAGGCAAAGAACCTCTCACAACCCTGCTTTTTCAGATCAGCCCACAAAATATCTGAGTTACTAGAGAACTACGGCTCCTCCTAAATCCGTGAACGCAGTGGTGTAGGCAGCCGGGGCATTGGGCTGGTTGGTGTGGGATGTGGCTAAGTGTGGTGGATGCTGGCAGGCAGTGCCGTGTCGGGGAGGAGAACTTGAGGGCCTGTGGTTTGGATCGCTGTGGATGAAATCGGAGAACCTCTGGCATTCAGCTCGCTCTCTCCCTCTCGTTCCTCGTCCAATTTTCCTTCTATCTCTCGGTCTCTTTGGTATCCTTTTCTAGTCTGTGTTTCATAACCTGGTCTATCTCTCTCACAAGGTCACAGACGGCCAGCGTGATTCTGCTGCTCTGCCCTCTGCTTCAAAAACCTGGACAAGAAGATTGTTTTTTGTCTCAGTGGTTCTCATTTTCTTGTGTGTATGTGTGTGCCGTCTTCATTAGTCGTGCAATAGAATGAGGTACGTGCTGAAAAGCGAGAATTATATCCCTCTTTATGTGTTTTGCAGTGAAGTTTTGAGAGCTTTAGAGTGAGATTGCTTTGTGTATATTCAAAGGCATCATGGGTAAGAGGCTATAGCCATGCCTAAACACTAACCCTCCTCATTAGACGGTGGCCTCTCGGGAGTAAAGAGAATGAGCTCGCCGAAAGAGTAGGTAATGTAATCTTCTCTGGCCAATAACCTCTCTAATAGACAATTGAAGTCTATTTTCTCATTTCCCTCTTTCTTTTCTATTTCACTGGCCCGTCTCTTTTTTCACTCATTCTCACTTACAAAAACAAAATAACCTAATAAAATAAAAAATGCACTTTCTTTCATCCTCTCTTTCTCGCTCACACCCACGCACACACTGTTTGCCCAACAATAGAAATTGTATCCACTAACCATATTTGGGCACATATTTGGTGTCAATATCAGAGAGAGCCGAAACAGGATGTTATGAACACGTTTGTGGCCACCGAATGAAAAATCACACTCAAATAGATCATTCTCTTGGGCAAACATGTACCTCTGAACCAAGTATCGATCTGATCTTTTTTTTTCTTGTGGCAGTGATTGTAATTGACAGTATGATAGCAATTGATCCGAGTTGAGCAGAGGGGCAGAGACATGCGTTAGCAAAGGTTAATGACTAATGACAAGTCTTTTCCCATTCCTGAGACCAGTGCTGGGAGTAATGGCATTATTTTTTCATACTCTACAGTAGGGATGTCAATTTAACATGTTCAGTGATTGATTAAAAACAATAGTGCAATAAAAGCATAGATTGATATATACAATTCTCATAAAATACTAATATATACAATTAATTGTGATTAACTGTGATTACTGATGACTGATCCTTTCGCTAGATAGGACCCTTATTCCTGGGCTGGGATCGCATAGAGCCCTTTGAAGCTGCATAGAAAATGCAATTTGGACCTTAAACCCATTGGTCCCTGTTGAAGTCCACAATATGGAGAAAAATCCTGAAATGTTCAAAACTTCAAAAGCTTCAAAAACCTTAGTTTCTTTTTGACTGAAGAAAGAAAGGCATGAACATCTTGGATGACATGGGGGTGAGTAAATTATCAGGAAATGTTCATTCTGGAAGTGAATTAATCCTTTAATATTTGTAATCATTATTCACATGAAAATACATGTATGCCAACTCTTTGGCGCCTTCTGTAGCATATTTGCCACTTTGAATGGAACGTACATGTCCAATTTGCAGAGTAAAGATGGCTCTAGAGGACTAGCCAATCCACACACTTTACAATGCAAAAAAGTTATGCAAAAGTATCTAGTGTGTTACTTTCCATAAAAAGTGATGATGTAATTAGTAACTTGAGGAGTAATGCAAAAAAAAATATAAAAGAAACATTCCCAAACACTCCTGTAATACATTTGTTTTCCTTTCTCTCTATAAATAATATTATTACATCCAGGACATCTGATTTGTTTGTTTTATGCAGCTGAAAGTAGGCACAGTACGATTTGGTATGATATCATATAGGAACAATTTGTAGTCACTAAAACAATAGTAAATTGTCAGCTTGATCTCATTAAGCAGTCAGGAGACTGCAGATGTAAACACGAGGGATCTTAAAGGCCGTGTTTACCCAGGCTCAAAGCCCCGCTGCACTCTTCTCCCGTCCCGCTCTTCTGTTCAGGTGTTTTATAAGCCACCAAAGCAAATTTCATTTTAAAGCGATAAAAGGCCTCTCACAATGTCGGTGTGAAGTAAATGGTTCACTGACTGACAACAAACGAAGACTTCATGCACAGCGTCTAGGCATTGTGTGAGAGCACGGAAAGCTATTCAACGAACGTGAGCAGCGTGTCTGAGCTGAAACACATGGCCTGAAACACACTGCTCTGCTCTATTTACATATCAAGTTCAAAGTTCAAGTGGAAAACTCTTGATTCCAGAATATTTGGTCTTGCGCAAGTGGGATTTTTTCACTCTGTAATAAAGCCCTCTTTGCTGTTTGATATTAACTCACGAACATGCCTGTGTTTTAGATGAGTCTTGGCTTTGTATTCGTGTTGAAGTTTGTTTACTTTTGTCTTGCCTGTATATGTTTGTGTTCCTCTGTTTTGTCTTACGTGTGCAGATCCAAATAAGTCTTCTGCTGTGAAAACACTGAGCTAAAAGCTGACGGTGTGACATTGTGCCTGAAAATAAATTTTTTTTGTCCTTTTCGTCATTTGAAAATGTTAACTGCTGCACTTTCTAGAAAACCTGGGTGGCGTTCACACAGCAGGAAAAAAAAAGGTCATCAGTCCTGTATTTGAGTGCTTTATATGATTACATTCACAAAGAGTTTGGTTATTTTCGAGAGTGACAAGCATATTCTATAACCAAATCCACACACGTACATTTTTCTGGACTAACAAACACATTTTCGGTGAAAGGGACGGCTGGACAAGTCTGTCAAGTCAGTGTCACTCTGTGTTGTACACATACATGCCTCGTGTCTGTTTGTTTCACAAGGGATTTAACCCCAACTTAGAATACATAAGTACATAATTATTATTATACAGTGACAACTTGGCAGAAACTTGTGCTTAAATAGATGAAAATATGAGCTGTGTGTCATCTGATGTTTTAGATCCAGTCACTCATTGTATCAGTTTTGTGCACAGCTCAAATGCTCCACTTCCAAATCAGGTAGGCTATAAAAGTTGCTGTCGGTTAAGTAAGATTTGACTTACTTTATGAACTTCGATTTGAGTCGTGTTGCATCAACTTTACAGTGGATATCGATGGCACATTCTTTGATATTTATTTTAGTCACTGTCATTATAGGTGATATTTAGTTATGTCGAGCAAAATATTTTTTTACATCAGTTATTTATTCCAACAGTATTGAATTTTATGCTGTAAATAAAATGTTGTGTGAACGGGACAATTTAATAGTACTTTGAAATTGAAGAAATAGACAGACCGACAAATAGATTATTTAGATATTATTGACCCTGGAGCACAAAACCAGTCATAAGTAGCACAGGTAGGCTATATTTGTAGCAATAGCCAAAAATACATTGTATGGGACAAAATTATCTATTTTTCTCTTATTCCAAAAATCATTAGGATATTAAGAAAATATCAGGTTCCATGAATATATTTTGTACATTTCCTACTTTAAATATATCAAAACTTAATTTTTGATTAGTAATATGCATTGCTAAGAACTTCATTTGG